TTAGCAAAAAAGCATATCTGATTTGAATTTGTAATTATATATATAAATTATATATATATATATATATATATATATATATATATATTGCTGACAGACCTTTATTTTTTATTTATTTATATGCGGTGTTAAGAATCTAACCCAGTGCCTCACACATGCCGGGCAAGTGTGCTACCTCTGAGCCCCAGCCCCAGCCCCAGCCCCTGGACATAATATCTTTTTATGTGTTTGTCTTTATTTTATTTTTATGTGAGGCAAGCACTATATCACTGAGCTACAGCCCCAGCTCTTTTTATCTTTTGTGAAGTTCTCACTAAGTTGTTGTCTCCCTGTCCAGACTGGCTTCCAACTTGGGGTCCTCCTGCTTCAGCCTCCCGGTAGCTAGGATTACAGGCATGCCGCCACCGTCCCCAGCTCTACAGGATCATATTTCTGTACTGCCTTTTTTTTTTTTTTTTTTTGCAAGACAGAAACTTTTATTTCCAGAAATTGTGGATAAGTAACAAGTCAAATTTAAACGTTCTATTTGAAAGATGGGCGGGGAGGGGGAATATACCAATGTCACTTAAGTAGAAATTTCTACAATGAGCAAAAGTTGCTCAGAAGCCAGTATGACCTTTAATGTTTTGTCACCCTGAAAGATCTATCCTGCTGGACATCTTGTCAGAGGAATTTCTGAAGAAAAGCACAACCTACWCAACTGGGTCACAAAAGTTAAGCAGTGTCACTTATGGCATTTTGGGTTTTTTTTTATTTTCTAACCCCCAGGCTGAAATACTGTCACTGTCCTACTCTATTCTCTCTCCCACACTTCATCTTATGAAACACCCATGCCATCTAATGTTCTCTTGTTCTAACCAAAAGGCGTTCTGCAACATAAGCCAGGTCTGCTGTGAGGCTAGAAGACAGCCAGCCAGGATTCCAGGATTCCAAAGCACAAGGACGCTGTACACACTAGAGGTAGCATATTAAGTCAGCCACAGGCCAAGATCTTGGAATATTTTCTCTGCTGGAAATACTTCCCAAACCTGGCTGGTCTGCCCTGGAAGGGGACTCTTGTGTGTGCCTCCAGGAGTGCTTGTGAAGGTGATGTGATCTCAGAAAGGCTTGAAAAGCAACATGGGAATATCAAACCTATTTGAATTGTTCTGGTTAAAATCTTCAAATCCAGAGTAACACTGTGAGAGACATAAGAGGAGAAATGTGTGCAGAAATGGTTCAATTCACCTGCGTGAGTCAATCATATTTGGTAAGTGGGTGGAACCAGAAGTGAAGCAGTGAGCTGGGGGGGGAGGCGGGGGGAGCAACAATCAAACAGAGTCAACTCAAAGTTCACGTGAACTGATGAGCCTCAGTTTGTACTCCTGCAAGATAACGACACAGTGTCATGCTTAATGTGCCATGCTGCCTCTGGTCTCCTTATGAGGAAGTAGTGAAGGACCCAGTGGCAATTTCCACTCTGTGGCTCCAGCTCCTAGACAGGAGCACTCTGATTCTACCGTGTCTTGTCCTGCTTTTGAACTTTTCCCACTCTTCCCTGGTTTGGGTGGTTCTTTCTCCTTCTCGGTTTTATTCGGCATGGCCTGCCCCTGCCGCCGCCTGACCCCGCCGCAGCAGAGCCCCCGCCCCGGCCCGTCGCGCTGCCGCCACTGCCGCCGCCGCGGCCCGGGGACTGAGTCGTTCGCTCGCTCTCGCTTCCCCTTTTCCAGGCTCTCAGAGGCGGCGGCGTCTCTCCCTGCCTTTTTTTTTTTAACAAGCTGAATTACTTTTGTAAATTAAAAGAAAATGAAAGCTAGTTTTAAATGACCTCTGGTCTGCCTCCTTTCTGCATTGCCATTCATTAGTGCAGGCTCCCTCCCGGAGTCTGCTAGGTGTTCTCCGGTGCCTTTGGCATACCCAAACCCCAGAGCCTCTTGGAACCCCAAAATTAGGTTGGAACAAGAGGATGAATTCTGGGGGACAGGGTGGATGGGAAGATTCTGGATAAAGGATACAAAATTTCAGTTAGACAGAAGGAATACTTCAAGAAATCTACTGTGCCACATCGTGAGTAGTTAATAACTGCTCATTTACCTAAAAGAGCAGATTTGAAGTGTTCTCAGCACAGATCAATGGTAAGTACATGCGGTAATGCATGTGTTAGGCAGCTTGATTTAGCCATTCCATGATGTGTGCATGTTGCRAAACATGTCGTGCATCACAAACATGCAATTCTTGTTTAATAATAATAATGGATAGAAAAGACTGAAAAAGAACATTAGAGTAAACTTTGACAGCCTGCTTCCACAGCCTTCAGGAACCTCCCAGAGGCTGGTCTGTTCCCAACTTTGGAAGCTCCAGGAGGAAGACACCAAGCTCCCCTCTACCTCAGAAGAGCTGGTCCAACACTTCTGAGGCAGACAGAAATATGATACTGTAGAGCTGGGGACAGTGGCACAAGCTCCTGGGAGGCTGAAGCAGGAGGATCCAAGTTGGAAGGTCTAATTTGGAGCCATCCTGTGTAGTGGCTAATGGAAGGATTTAGAACCATCAGTGGATCTCACAGAACTAGGTTTCTGCTACCCAAAAATCCCATTAGCAAAGAGATTTTGGGTAACTACAGGGACTTAAAGTGACTACTGAATATGCCTTTTGCTAAACTTCTGGAGTCCTCTCTAATGCAGGACTCCTCTCCCCGCGCCCTAAAGAAACCCTTACATGAAATTCCAAGTTGCTAATCAGTTGAAGAAGGAACTGCTCCAGTCGGAGGAAGGAACAAGAACAAACGGAAGACTCTCCTTCATCTCCTCCTTCACTTGCTTTGCAGCCCCTGAGACTCCAAGACAGAGGCCTAGGGGAAGATGACTTGTCACACAGCAAGTTCATGAAAAGGCCTGCAGAGCCATGAATCAGACGTAAGTTCTTAAATTCCAGACTCACAGTTCTTTTTCCTGAGGTTGTTGGGTTTTTTGTTTGTTTGTTTGTTTGTTTTTTCCCCCCCATATAAAAGGAAGTGGCATAGAACACAAGTTTAGGTAAAAGAGCACAAGCATGCACACATGAGCACGGCACACACAAGGGGACCTGTCTGAGTGGAACACACCATCTGGTTAATTATAATTAGCAAGCTGACTCTCCCTCATTTGACTTTCTTAGGATTCCCATACAGGGCTGGGGCTGGGGCTCAGAGGGAGAGCACTTGCCTAGCACATGGAAGCACTGGGTTCSATCCTCTTCACCACATAAAATAAATAAGATAAAAGGATTCACATGCATCACTTCATCTTTCTCTCCTTGAGTGTTTGAACGTCTTCACTAACCAAACAAAGAAAATGAACTACTGAAATAAAAAAACAGGGAGGGACAGCGACATTAATGTTTATAGCAGCTCAATTCACAATAGCTAAGCTATGGAATCAACCTAGGTGCCCTTCAACAGATGAATGCATAAAGAAAATGTGATATATATATATACACACACACACACACACACACACAATGGAATATTACTCAGCCATAAAGAAGAATGAAATAATGACATTTGCTGGTAAATGGATGGAAATGGAGACTATCATGCTAAGTCAATACCAAAAAAAACAAAAGCTGAATGTTCTCTCTGATATGCAGATGCTAACATACAATAAGGGGGAGGAGAATAGAAGTTCATTGGATTAGACAAAGGGGAATGAAGTGAAGGGAAGGGGGATGGGAATAGAAACGACAGCAGAATGAACTGGACATGACTTTACTGTGTTCATATATGCATACACCACCAGTGAAACTCCACATCATGTACAACCACAAAAATGGAAAGTTAAAGTCCATGTATAATATGTCAAAATACACTCTACTGTCATGTATAACTAAAAAGAACAAATAAACTTTAAAAAAACAAAATATAAGGGAGAAAAGAGGGAGGGAGGGAGGAGTCTCTTTGTGGAAGACTTCTAGTGGGTTGTTTCTTTGGAGATGCAAATATTTAAAAAGGTAAAATAGTTCCAGGTTTATTTTACAACTTTTGGCTCTAAGAATCATGACATATTGTCTTTGGCCACAAAATATCTGTTGCTGTTAGGACTAAGAACTATAATACTGTTTGTTGCTGCAAAATTCTCATCTTTAACTATTTGGCAGCTGGAAAATCTAAGGACTTAATCATGGCCCAAATGCAACTATCCAATTAGAAAATATACAGAATGAAAGCAGAACTGCACCTCCAAGGTTTCATGGGCCTAGCTCTATTGATTTAGGGATAACTGTCCCAACACCTGAGGCAGCTGGAATAATAGCCTGGGGTAACCTCTAGAGTTACCTATACGTGCAACAACATGGATGAATCACAAACACATGACGATCAGTGAAAGAAGCCAGACTTGAAAGGCTACCCACTCTATGATTTCATTTAAATAACATTCTGTAAAACACAACTGTAGGGACAGGAAACAGATCAGTGATGGCCAGGGACTAGGTTGAAGATAGGAAACTGATTACAGGGCAGCGGAAGAAACGTTTTAGAGTGATGACAATATTCTGCATCTTGATTATGGTGATAATTTCTTGACTGCATGCAATTGTCAAAATGCATAGAACTGCACACCTAAAAAAAGGGAGGGGGTGGATTTTACAGCATATAAACAATACCTTCATAAATCTAATGTCTTTTAAAAAATCAGTGTTTCTGAGTATACTGTGTGCATAGAGAGAAAGGTGCAGTTTACCATCTTTGCAGGACAGTCCCAAGTTTCAATAAATGCCAGCAGTTTACACAGAGAGAACAGGTGGTTTCCGTAGACGATGTCATTTCTCTGCTCCCTGCTCATTTCCACTAGTGACCTGAACTGCAGCGGCACACTGCTCTTGCCACTCAGGGACGACCAAGGTTCAGGAAAAGAAAGATGCAGCATGGGGTGAAGCAGCAGGCTGGGGAAGCCAAGCAGTTTATCCCCGAAGCTGCCCAGTCACTCCCCCAGTTAATTATCTGTCTGCTGATTCAGGAGTTGTGGTTCCTGTGGGCACGTCTCCCGGCCACTCCTGCCAACAAAGGCAGGATTCCTGGGGCTGGGAGGGGATGATAACCAGAGATCTTGAGTGGGATGGGGAGCTGTACAGGAAGAATTCCTATGGGGAACTTCTGGAGTCATATCCAGGTCCCCCCACTCACACTGTCGCCTCCTGGTCCCATCTTAGGATGGCCCCAGGAAACCTCTACCCTTCTCACCTYTCTCTCACACTCACAAGTCTGAGGGGAGTAAAGAAGAATGCTGCCTTCTTCGGGGATCCCCCCAAAAGAGGGAAAAAGGCAGACATTTCACCCAGGGTCCCCTGAGTTTCCAGCACCCTCTGATTAGAGGTCCAAATAGTGCACTAGTACAGAGGTCGAAACGTTAAAGAACTTATGGTCTCTACCGTATCTTAGCACGCAGGGGACGCAGCTCATTGGTACAGTGTGTGTTCAGCATGCAACAAGGCGCTGGGTTCAATCCTCAGCCATACACGCACGCACACACACACACACACACACACACACACACACCAAATACCTCCAGAATGTCCAAGTGGAGCACTAGAGGATATTTTATGAATGAATGAAAGTATTTAAATATTGGGTTTCTTAAAGTGAACCACATCACCTCTAGATGTCTTTTCATAGCATTCCCTAGATACTCATTTCGCTGCCTGTGTGCCAGGCACTGCACACAATGTTCAGCAAAATAGGCATGTCCCTCTCCTCGTGGAGACTGAAGCCTTTTCTACCTTCCTCTCTTCCCAGAGACAGACTTGAAGTTTGCTCCTGGATAAAGCAGGTGTCTGGACCTCTCTCCTTGGCCTCACCTATGCATTCTTGATGGACCAGAGGAGCTGAAATATGCCATGCCACCAAAGAGGAATGGGTTGAAATAAGAGGGACCCCCTGTCAAATAGGTATGAAAAAGGGACCCCGTCAGTCTCATGCTAGAAGCCCATATTGCACTCATGCATGAAACCGCAACAGCTCTTTCCTCCAATGTATGCATGGTAGATACCATGGATAAGAAGAATAATGACAACAGTATTGCCATCTATTAAATACTTATTTTGTGCCTTTGTCTACATTTATTCTGCATAATAACCATAGAAGTATTGCTTTCTCTACTTTACAGATGAGGAAACTGAGGATCTTTGAGATTAAGAAATTCATCTAAGGTCACATGGCCAATCAGAGAGAAAGTCAAGAATTAAACCTACATCCTACTTGCTTAAACCATAGCTGTCCCTTCCCCTAGCTAACAAGCCTTTCTCCCAAGTCTCTCCAGGCCCCGATGATTCCTACAGAGGGCTCCAGATGGAGAGTTTCTAGGATACAAATTTGAAAGAGAAATAAGCACCCCAGCCCAGAACTAGTTAGGCTAGAACAGAACTCGAAATATGAGGAAGCCACTGAATCGAATTTCTTATGTAAGAGATCATCTTTGCAGATAAAATCTAAAACCAGGCTCAGTGGTAGAGTGCCTGCCCAGCATGCACGAGGCACTGGGTTCAAACCCCAGTACTGAAAAAAAAAAAAAAAAAAACCTCAGTGTTACCCCTAGAACCTCTTTTCTCCCCATACCAGAACCTCTTACTCTGAGCAGCCTCTCTGTTCCACTCCCACCCCTACTTTCTGTACCCCATTCTGTATCCCTTCAATACTGTGTGTTCTAACACTACTGTCCTCCTCTCATCCCACCATCTGCTTCACCAGGGATCTAATAATGTYTTCCACCAACACTGGGGTAGAAGATGGAACATAACAAAAAATGCTTTTACAGGGGACTGATGCTCTGGAAGGCTGTCTCTAGAGTCCCTACTCTTAAACACTGCTTAGAYTTAGGTATGAATGTGCAGTGTCCTGTGTGGATCATTACAACTGTGTGAGCCAGATCCACATGAGTTAGGAGAGAGGGAGGGAAAGACAAAAAAAAAAAAAAAAAAAAGATACATACTCTTCATCTTCACTAACACTGAGCCACACTCTGTGCTAGGCACAATCTTATGTCTCCTCACTATTTTCTTCTAAAAATATAAAGATTATGCTCACAAGTGAATTTAGAAAGCTGTGGATATAAAAATAATATGGCAAAATGTTTTAGATGTATTCCATATCTCAAAATAACTAAGAGAGGAGTTGGAAGGTTCCCAGCACAAAGAAATGCTAATTACCTTGATTGGATCATTTCACATCATATACAAGTACAGTGTACATAAACATACACAATTTTATTCTGTGTCAGTTTAACAATTTAGAATAGTAAATTTTAAAATGTTTTAAGTTTATGAAAACAGTCAATTGTGAGGTGACCTGTGGATTTCTCCATCTCCCCATCAACAGCCAGCAGCAGCAGACCTAGGCTCTAACATCTCCAGGACAGAATGCTGAAAATTCTGATTTCTGTTCAATGTTCATCAGGCTGTTCTCTACAGCTAGAGATCACCTCTGCCACATGCCCCTCCACAGAACCACCTCAAGTCCGGGGAAACATCCTTGTCCTATCCAGAATCTATATATGTCTACATCTACATAGAACAGTTTTGAAGGCAGTCACCAAAATATTTTTGAATAGTTTACATTTGAAATGGACTTAATAAACCTTCCCCTTTAAAAAAAGAAAAGAAAAACTCCCACCTGCAGGGTCTAATTTGTTAATGAGTACTACTGTATTATTTTGAAGTACATATGTGCACTCTTGTGTGTCCTCTGCAGTAGGGGAAGCCGCAGCTCACCGAGCCAGGGTTTCTCCACCTTCAGCAAAATCACCAAGGGCTCCCAACACCAAGGACAAGGCTGACTGCTGGGGCAGCTAACGGTGTGAGCAGCAGCAGAAGAAACGAGGCCAGGGATCCGAGCCTCCCCGGAGCGCCTCTCCGCATACCCTAGAGACTTTGGGGCTGGGAGGTCTGTACCAGAATCAGCAGCACTGCTGCCACCCAGAGACACGGGAGGGAGCAGAGCCTTCAAGCTGCTCCAAAACCATCCCATGGGGGTGCCGCTAAATTTAAAAAGTTGGTAGGGGCGCGGGGCGGCGGGGGGGGGGTATTACACGGAAAAAGAGGAATTGGCAAGCCAGTGCGCGCGTACTCTGGCAGAGGCTCTTCCCTCTACCAACGCGGGAACAGTCCCATCCAGCCTGCGCTACTTCTGAATTGCTACCACCCGCAACGTGCAGCAACTCCAGCTGAACGCAGGGCTCAGTGCTGCGAACCCGGGCGGCACATACAGAGGCCGCCCAGGGAAGGCGCCCCACTGGCTGAAGACCATCCCCCAAGCACCAGGGACCTCTCTCTCGGCCCTGCCATCACCAGGCCAGGAAGGTCCTCAGCTCCGGGATCCGACGACCCCGCGCACTCAGACTGCAGAAACTCGTGACCCTCCCTCCCGGGTCTGCAAATCAGACACTGGTGCGGGACCCCGAGATCTGCGTCCCGTGGCGCTGGTGCCTCACTCACCTCSGACGCCCATGCCGACGCCCGCCAGGGCCCCCAGCGCCAGCAGAGCTGCCCAGAGCGGCCGGGGCCGCGGCCACCGCCGCGCTTGCATGGTGTCCTCCGCCGCTGCCGCGCTCTGCCCACCCCACGGCTAAATGTGAGGTCCGCGGCTGCTTTTCCCGCAGCTAGAGGGGAGGGGACGCGGTGGGTGGGACGCAACGGGGCGGGACGCGGACTCKCGCTTCCTCCCCTTGGGCCCTTTTCTGGACCCTAAGCCTGAAAGAGGGCGGTGGGAAACCGCGGCTCTTCCCTGGAGGCCTCGCCTCCGCCCACGAGGATCCGCCTGTCAGCTAACTAGGCGAGGCGGCGCCGGGAGGGGGTCGTGAGCGCATCCCGGTCCCAGAGGTCGGTGCCTGGACTCTTGGTATGCTCAGAAAGGCCAGGAGCCTGTGGCCGCTCACTGGACATTTCTAGTCCCACCTCCTCGGGGACACCCACTGGGCAATGTCACCTGGATTCCTGGGGCGCTTTTTCTTAGTATTTCGAATATCATTCATTCGCGCTTTCATTCATTCAATTGCCAAACTTCTGTTGAATGACTTTTCTGCACCTGTTCAATCCTTTATTATTCACTGATTTTCCCCGCCTTGGGTTAGTTGGTTTTCTGGTAGAGTGTAAGCGCCTTGAAGACGGGTTAAGCGGGGATGGGCCCATGAAGTGTTTCTCTCTACAAATGCTAGTGTGTGTGTGTGTGTGTGTGTGTGTGTGTGTGTGTGTGTGTGTGTTGTTTAATAAATGTTTCAGGACACGGTCATTTTATTTTCAACAAACTCCAACTCGTAGTCTTTAAAGCTTTATTATATTTTCTTCAAAAAGCCACATTCTCACTCCCCTTTCCATCCCTTACCTCAATTCCTCCTCTAGGGTCCTTGGATCTTCCCCCAGCTAGAAACCTATAGAAGTTCAAGAAGGGTAAAATACTAGAGCTGAAAGCACAAGGTCATCAGAAAGTGGCTCTGCAGCCTACTAGATAAGCAGCTCCGGTGGTGATAAAAACAAGACCTGAGCCTCTCTAGCTCCTGAGCATGCTGTAGCCTGACAACTGCCCCTGACCCATCTCCCACCCGTAGCCCAAGAAGATACTTCTCATTCCCAAACTTTCCATACCTTTCTATCTGACTGATTTTCCTTCCTTTTTCCACTTGGAAAATTCCACTTGTCTTTCAAAACATTTCAAATGTCATCTCTTCCATGAAGTCTAGTCTGATCTCCTCGCTCTTCTAGCCCAACCCTCTGCAAAGGTGGGCATTTCCTCCTGGGACCTCTCAAACACTAGTTTACACCTTAGTAGCATACACACAGCAGAAGTGACACTAGCAATTTACAAGGAAGCTGGGGAAGAGCCAACCAACCAAAAGGAAGCTGAACTCTGACCTGTGCTTTGAGACTCCAGCTCCAATCTACTTCCTCTGGCTGCAAAGAGCCTCTAGGCCAGAAGTCATTTCAATTGGGTGTTGTTGAAGTCCTGGAGTAAGATCCAGGTAACACCTAGTTAACCTCTGCCTTTGATATTTACTTATTCGCTCAATTTCCATATATATAACCAATAACCAGTCACCTAAATGGCTCCAGTCTAGCCCTACTGGCACCAAACACTCCTGGTGGGCACTGGCCTCAGCAAATATGCTAAGTCCCCAGCCTTAGAGCAAGCCTCAGCAAGCCTGTCATGGCCACGTAAGTGACTCCTCAAAAAGTCCCCAGCCCCAGGGAAAGGAAGGAGCTAGTCATTCACATTTATATTTGTTTATATTTAGTATAATAATTGATGATTCTCTTTACATCCACCATTTTTTAAAAAATTTGTTTCAATCTTTTTCTCTTTTTCTGCTTTCTTTGCGGATAATTCATTTTTCCCCTCTGCTGACTTTCTAGCTACATCTCTTCCCTGTGAGACATGTGTGCATATACATGTGTGCATTCTCTAGGGATCACATTAGTATTATAAATTAGTTTGAATTAGAAGTGTGAATTAGTATACATGAATCGGTATTATACCATTTCATGTAACATATAAGAAACTTATATCTATCAAATTTTATTAACACAATCCCATCCTCTATACTAATATCATATATTTTACTTCTAAATACATAACTTACAATATAATATTTACAATATAATATTGCTTCTTAACAAATTAAAGAAAGCAGGCACAGTGGTGAATACCTGTAATCCCAGTTACTCAAAAGACCAAGGCGAGAACATCGTAAATTTTAAGCCAGCCTCAGCAATTCAGTGAGATCCTGTCTCAAAATAAAAAATAAAAAGAAATGGGAGTTCATAACCCTTTTGAATCAAACTGTGAAATATGATATATCAAGTTAGATGTAATGTTTTGAACGACCAACAATAAAAAAAAAAGATTAAAAAAAATATAAATAAATAAATAAATAAATAAATAAAAATAACTGGGGATGTAGCTCTGCGGTAGAGCACTCCTGGGTTCAATCTCTAGTACCACACTCACAAAAAATAAGGAGATTTAAAAAAAATAGCTTTCGAATTTTACCCACATATTTACCATTTCTGCTGTTCTGTATTCCATCTTTTAATTCCAAGTTTCTATCTGGAGTAATTTCCCTTCTGCCTGAAGAACTCCTTAAATTTAACAAATCTTGAAAAGAAGCTATCCTTGAAACAAATATGCTCAGCCTTCCTTGGTTTCACCCTCATTTTCATGATATTTCTTAGAAATAGATTTTTAGATTGACAGGGATTTTTTTTTTTAAGACTGTAAAGATGAGGCTCCCCCATTTTCTGGCCTCCATTGTCTCTTTTGAGAAATTTCCCACTATTGACATTGACATTCTTTTTTTTTTTTTTTTTTTAGCCATCAATAGACCTTTATTTTATTTATTAATATGCAGTGCTGAGAATTGAACCCAGTGCCTCACGMATTCCAGGCAAGCGCTCTACCACTTAGCCACAAACCCAGCCCCCACCATTGACATTCTTGTTGCTTGTCTTCTCCCTAAAATGTTTTTTACTTTTTACTTTTAAATTATTTACACTTTCAGAAAAGTTTCAAAATACAAAATACCAAATAAAATTCCTTTATATGCCTTTCACCCAGCTTCCCATAATGATCATATCTTATACTACAACATCATAATTATCAAATACAGAAAAAATAGCAGTAATTCAACACTAATTGAACTAATCTAGTTACAGAAGTTGGATTTTGCCAGTTTTCCCAGTAATGACATTTTTCTGGTCCAGAATCCAATCCAGGATTCTCTATTGTATTTAGTCACCATGTCTCCTTAGTCTCCTTTAATTTGTAACATTGCCTCATCCTTCTTTTTCTTTCTTTCCCTCCCTCCCTCCCTCCTTCCCCGCTTTCTAGCCACAGTTGAGTGGACAAAGGTGTGCACGTGCTATAATCTTGGTCAATCATAGCTTCTTTCCAGGACCCTGAATTGGAAGAACATCCTTGTCCTGGATATTAGGATCTGCACGGTGGGAACTTAAAAGCTGCAGCTGCCAAAAAGGCTAAGGAGAGGGCAGCCATTTGAGATCACAGTGAAAGCATTGAAGGTCAAGGTGAAAGCAAGTGCAAATAAAAGCCCAGAGGTAGAAAAAAAAAAAAAAAAAACTCAGCATTCAAAATTAAAGCAGTCCAGTGTAGGATGGCCGAAAAGATGGTGGAGGGAGGTGGCAAAGTCTCACTCTTTCTCTTTTATCACTCTTGAAAAATGAAGACCAGTTATTTTGCAATATGGCCCTTAGTTTTAGGTTTKTCTGTGTCATTTTGGACAACACCATCACAAAAATGATGCTGTATGTTCTCAGCACATCTGGTTAGGGGTACTTGATATTGACATATCTTATTAGTTATAAGGTTAACCTTGATTATATACTTAAGGTGGTGTCTACCATATTTATATTCACAAAGAAACTACCATTTTTCTCCTTGTCACTAATACACATTTTTATGGGAAGTTACTTTAATTCTGTGCAAATACCCTGTTTCTCTTCATAATTTCACCCACAAATCTTAGCACCCATCAATAGCTACCACCACGGTGTATGATTAATAGCAATTTTCTCCTCCTTTYATTCCTTCTACAGGTTTTAATTGCTATTCCAAGTAAGAAAGAGCTACTCATCCCTTGCCATTTTAAAAATTGATGTATTTATATTGTTATGAACTCATGGATATTTACTTTAGTCCATGGGTTATAATCCAATACTATCATGACTTTGTTGCTTAAATTGTCCCAGATGTCTACCTAGCTATTTTCATGGGGTTTTTTCTTTGTTTTTGTTTTGTTTTGTTTTTTCAGCAGTTTAAATATAAAGTTACTAGGTGTTGTTTTCTTTGTAACTGTTTGGGTCTTGGTGAGACTTTGGGTACCTAAATTTCCCCCACAAATAGAAAAAGTATCCTAAAGCATATGCCTATATTATTTAAGAAGAATCTAATTGTCTTTTTATTGATTGCCTTTTGAAAAATTRCTGTTGGAAAAYAATGTACACATAGRATTTAGGGCACAGATAGGAAAATTTTAACCATTGTTCCTTCAAATATTTTTTTCTGCTCATTTTTCCCTCCTTACCTGCTGAACTCCAATTACAAATATTTTAGAATACTTGATATTATCCCATTGACCACTGAAACCCTGTTTTGTTTTGGTGTCAGAATTTGAACCCAAGTCCTTGCACATGCTAGGCAAGTGCTCTACCACTGAACTCCATTCTYGGTCCTACAGAGTCCTGAGTGAATGCTTAGTCATTTTTCAGTTTTTTTTTAATATATTCTTTTTCCTGGCCAGGTGCAGTGGCTCACACCTGTAATCCCAGTGGATTGGAAGGCTGAGGCAGGAGGACTACAAGTTCAAAGCCAGCCTCAGCAATGGTGAGACGCTAAGCAACTCAGTGAGACCTTGTCTTTAAATAAAATGCAAAATAGGGCTGGGGATGTGACTCAGTGGTCAAGTRCCCCTGAGTTCAATCACCGGTATCTACCCCCCAAAATTTTTTTTTGTCTTGAACATTGAATATCTGTTGATATCTCTTCAAGTGTTCTAATCCTTTCTTTTGTAGTCTCTACTATTCTCTAAAGCCTATCAGGGAATTTTCATTTCAGACTTTGTACTATTTAAATTCTAGAATTTCCTGCTGGGTCTCTGTTATGCTTTCAATTTTTCTGCTGATATTCCATCTCTTTAACCATTATGTCTTTTTTTTCCTTTAAGTTCTTAAATATGTCTATAGTGGCTGCTTAAAAACTCCCGTCAGCTAATTCTGGTTCTGTTTCTCATGGGCCTGTTTCTCATGATTACCTTGTTGTTGTTGTTGTTGTTGTTGTTGTTGTTTTCAAAATTCCGAGTTCCATTTTCCTGTTTCTTCACATATATAGTAAGATTAGGCTATATGCTGAACATTGTAAATTGTTCACCAGAGTTTATGCTGTCTTCCCTTAAAAGGTATTAAGCTTTTTTTAGGCAGTTAATTATTGGCAGATTTTTTTTGTAGTTGTAGATGGACAGAATGC